GCCCCTGCATGTGACCCGCCCACCCACAAGCAGAGGAGTGCCCCCCCCCGGTGAACAGATCCCATCTGTCCAATAAATAATAATAACTGGTCCATGACTCAGAAAAGGTTGTGGACCACTCTTCTAAAGTATCTGAAGTTCCTTTCTGAAGAGAATGAAAATTCTAGTTGTATTATGCGAAATGAATTTTTCTGAAATAATAGTACTTGACATTATTGCTGTTCTTTAGATACTCAGTATTGAAATAAGAAGAAATTGTGAGTTAGATTTAATGATCACAGTTTAGCAGTTCTAGATAGATAATTTAACTACAATAAATTAATTAATAGATGTAGCATTTGACAGAACTTCTGGTGCTGACTACTAGCTTTGATGCCTTTCAAAAAGAGGAGTCCAGTGCACAGAAAATATGTCTGTTAGCACTTACTAATCATGGTATCTAAAAGAAAATCTTTGTGTTTCAGAGGTGGTATCCCTCTGAATATTGATTGTTGGGGACAAGACAGGAGGTATGCTCCCTTGGCACCTGTTTGTAAGAGATCTGGACTAATTTCTGTTGTAAAAAGAATGCTAGACAAGGTAAACAGTTTGGTCTCGTGCAGAGGTTAGAAAAGTCAGTTTGGGACAACAATTCTCAGAATCCACTGGCCATACTTGCTGGAGTATTTCTAGCAGTTATACAGTGGTGCCTCGCTAGACGATTGCGTGGGATGAAAACCCCGCAAGACGATTGGTTTTTGCGATCACTATGGTGCCTCACAAGACTTTTTTTCCTATGGCAGTGTTTCACAAGACTTTTTTTTTAGCCTGATGCATAGTGAACCTCGCAAGATGATTTTTTCACGACGATTTTCGCGGAACGAATTTAAACTGTCTTGCGAGGCACCGCTGTAGTTTAAAAGATGGCATTTTAAAGCCCGATCCAGCAGAACTCCTTTTAAGTTTCCTTTAAACAAATATGGAAGTCACAGGTTGGATAACTGTTACTTTCTTTCTGCTAGTTAAAATTCAGTTAATTATGATTGCATACTGGACTGTCCCATTGTCCATCCTAGCTTTTAGCTTCTTTTTAATATTTTCTGGCATTATGATGGTTGTTTCTTTTGTTTGCAGAAGAAGAAGGAGGATGAGTTAGATGGGAGGAAAAAAAAAGAAGGCATGAATCTGGTGATCCCATTTGTTCCATCTGCGGACAATTCTAATCTCTCAGCTGATGGGGACGAGTCATTTGTTAGTGTAGACTCTGCCATGCCTAGCCCTTTCAGTGAGGTAAGAATCTCTTTACAGCCAGCTGTGTAATGATGTCCGCTAATAATTCCTGTAGGATTTACTGTTTCCTTCATCCAAAAGCCTCTCTGTGGTATAATCTCTCAGGTCTTTTGTTTATTTTGATTTGGTCTAATAAGCCAGTCTCTTCTGCATCCTCATCACTGAAGTAAAGGCAGTTCTCTGAGCAGATAACAGTTACTCAGGCCGTAGCTGAGGATGTGTTGTTAACTGGGAATAAACCCTATTGAATACAGTGGTATTTTCTGAGTAGACAGATACTAGACTGACCTGCCAGCCATCGCCTCATCTGAGACGACCTATGATGGTCAAGCTAAGTTACTTTCAACTACATGGGGGAAATAAATCAGGAAGGATATTATTCCATCCACAAGAAGGCTCTGCCCTGACATTTGAGAATTTTGAAGAGTCCATCTTGCTCTCTAGTTTAAATTTTAAAATGATTACTTAAAGAATCCAATTTAATCCTAAAATGCCTACAGGAAGGTTGATGCAAGAAGGGAATAAAAGGGTAGCTCGCTTGCCAAGTTCTGCCTTTTGTCATAAATTTGCTGTTGTAAATTGGTTAATATAGCCAATGTTTAATTTTTTTGTCCAAATGCATACCCTTATTTGTCATATATTTGAAACCTGCATGTTTAGATTATGAAGATGAGGACAAAGTTGTTTTCTGCTAGTACCTGGAGTTAGTAAAGGACTGATAAAGTGAAGCTCATTCTAGAAAGATAGAATTGTTTTACTTGATAGTTCAGTTGATGTGGAAAGTGGTATTTAGCTGGATTTGGATGAAGTTGTTTCAGCTACTCCACGCCAGGTTTTTAATTAGCAGGTGCTGGTAGATTTGGTCTTCATTTTATTATTTTAAATGTGTTATCTATTCTTTCTAGTAGGAGAATCACCCAAATAGTATTCCCAATAAATACTTGTAATGTTGTAAGCTGCAGATATTCCTGGAAAACAGCAGTGGCCTAGAAGTATCCCAAAACAAGACATCCATACTGCTGCATGCCAGTGTATAGGGTACATTGGTAGGCTGTTTGACGAGGACTAGGGAATTCCTGGATTTGGATCCCCACTTAGTTTTGAAGACTGCTAGTTTCCGCAAGCCAATTGCTGTATCAACCTAATCTACCCTACAAAAATATGAGGACAAAAATGGGGAAACAGGTCATGTAAGCCTCATTGACCTACTTGGAGAAAAGTCAGGGTAGAGATGTAACAAATACGTATATGGAAATTATGCTGTCCTTGTTTTGTTAGGAAAAATTATTCACTTAAAAGAGAGCGAGCGAGCAGTACAAAAGTACAACACAGAGGGGCCATGGCCTCAAAGTTTGCTAAAGGAAACTAGTGACTTTCATGAATTGCAGTTCATTATAGAGCTTAGCATTTCTGCTTAGACCAAGCCAAGCTACACTGCATGTGAGACAGAACAGTAATCTGGATTTTCAGTTTCCTTTTCATGGTTAAATCTGAAGGAAGGGCACTTCCAGTTGCACAAGGTGTTTGATGCTAAAGCCATGCCAACTCATATACTTACAATTTACTTTATATTTACATTACATTTCTGTTTGTTATTATGTGTCTAGATTTCCATCAACAGTGAATTGCACATGGGATCCATTCCACCTGATGAGAGCAGCAATGACATGCTGGTTATTGTAGATGATCCAGCATCTTCTGCGCCTCAATCAAGAGCAACAAACTCTCCTGCTTCCATCACTGGCTCAGTTTCTGACAACATGAATGGTTAGTATTTGTCTGTATACTTGACTTAAGATGACACAATGCAAATTCTGAACTTTAGCACTACTTACGCACATGGGATTTAACAAAGGATCTAGACAGTGATAACAGATTACGGTGGTAACTCATGAAACCAAGACTTCTATTTACAAAGTTCAGCAAGGGCATATATTTAATTTTTATGCATGCTTTTTGAAGGTGGTGAGCAGATTTGTTGTTAGGATAAGCACTTAAATGTGAGAACAGAATCGTAAAACATTGTTCATTCAAAGTCTCCAAGCAGCTGTTTTCTAAGGCCACTTTTTCTTTGTCTAAAAAACAAGATGATGTATATCTGTCTCAGAGAATATTTGCACTGTCAATGAAGACAAATAGTAAACAAAGTGGTCAAAATCCAGTTGCATAATGAAAGCAGACATATATTCCACTCTGTTCATCACTGGTAAACAAAGGAGCCCCTACTGTGATTCTCCCCGGGGTGGGGTGGGGTAATATTTCACAGCAAGAAACAGATCAAAACTTACAGCCCTGCTTATGTTGTGCAACAGGAGTTATGCAAGCCTGTTCACTTCTTGAGACATCATTTGTGATGGATCACTAAATCATTCTTTGCCTTTTTCTTTTGTCTCCTTAAGGAATTTCAATACATGACATGCCTGTCACAGGGAGAGGTCATTCAGGTAGAAGCCGAGGTCGCCCCAAAGGTTCAAACAGCACATCAAAAACCACAGGGAAAGGCCGAAGCCGGAAATCAACAGCAGGAAGTGCAGCTGCTATGGCAGGTGCTAAAGCGGGAGCAGCTGCCGCCTCTGCAGCAGCATATGCGGCATATGGCTACAATGTGTCTAAAGGTATGCGCGCAGCATGGAACAAACTATCTGCTGTGATTCTCTGTACTAAGTCATCTGTTCTTTAAAAGCCTTTGGTATAGGCCATTCTCTGGGTGAAGCAGAGAAGGAAGCTGCTAGAATGGGTTAATCCTATCACTGTCTAGAGTTTTCATTTGATCTGAAGCCCTCTTCCAGCAATTTTGTTTCCTGCCTTCACTCAGGTCAGGTCTGTCTACATTCCTTGTCTCTCCAGTTTCACCTTACCTGATTTCTTCTAGTTCTTGTTACTTTCTGCCTTTCCTCTAGCTTGCTTTCCTATCTCTGTACTTGTATTCTCTTTGGGGTGAGGGGGACTGGGGAGGAAGCATGCTTTTCTCTTTTGCTTTCACTTTCAATTCTGTCTCCTGCTTTTGGACAGCTCTGACCTAGAAAGGTAGGCAGGATACCAAGTCTGCCAGTTCTGATGAGTAGGGGGAGGATTGATATGACATGTCATTTCCCCCCCCCCACCTATGTTTGAGCTTATGGGTGGGTTTGAACATGTTTATGAGTAATCTGGTGAGAAAAATCAGATTGCTCATAAACATGTTTTAACTTACTTATGAGTTCAAATATATAGGTTGCATAGAAAATGTGAAATGTCATAGAAATCTTCCTCCTCATGATGAAGTAATGCCTGCCAAAACTAACAAAGCAAGTACCCACACTAAGAAGGCAAAACACTGCACAGCCACTGAAACTGCTTCTCCAGTGTCTGTCCTATGGCTCTCTAAAGCTTCCCTGTAAGCCCTTTCTCAAGATGTGTCTTCCTCCCCAGATTCTTATGGATGTCAACACCAAACCTCTTTCAGCCAAGAGTTCTCATGGCAGAAGCCCTTGTCTCAACAAACTCTTCCTTTGCACCACATCCAGAATTGGATTGGTCATGCAAGGAGGAACTCTGAGGGAGCAGGTTTCCTACCTTTCTCCATATATATTTTTCAAATCTTTGTGTTTTCCCTTGCAGTTGCTGCCATTTTCTGTCCATAGACGGAGTGCCATTCCCACCCACACACACTGGTGCAGAGACACAAGCAGCAGTTTTACCAAGCTGCTCCCATCATGGGACCTCAGCCAGTGCTGTTTCTCTGTCCCTCCAATTGGATTCACTCAAGAAATCTCAGAAGCCCTTCAGGAGTTGTCCTCTTGGTTGGGATTGTGGTCTGGGCAGTCTGGTCCTATGCCTCCCTCTGCTCATCTGAAAACAGGCTCTGCTGCACATTCTCACAATTCCCAGGTGTCCTGGTTCTTCCAACTGTGAGTCCTTTGAACAATTTATCAGAAACATGAGAATGTTTGAATGAGATACCTGTTTTTCTGGAGCAAAGAGGAAAGACGACCTTCCATATCATCTTCCTCCACCAGAATGCTTGCAACTGTCACACATTCTTCCTTTTCTTCCTGTTCCATTTGATAGGAAGGAAGGAGCATGGTAGAGGAGAGAAGATTAAGAGCATTCCCCCACCCCATTTTCTCAGCTGTTGTAAGGATGAGTTAGAGTATGAAGGCATCCCAGGTGGCTTCAGAGGTTCTGTACCTTGCATCAGCAGGTCATGGAACTTCTAAAGACTCCCTTGGTAGATACACTTACACCTTCTCTTGTTTTCAGGGCCTACACACACAAAATGCAGATGGATGCAGATGAACAATGAGTATAAATCTTCCTTTGCAGGACACATAAGTTTCCCACTCTTTATCAGTGAGACCAGCTTCATCTGGTGTTCACCAGAGTCTCCCTTCTTGTCATGTCTCATCCATCTGAGTCCTCTTCTGAAGAGAAGGAGGAGGTTCAAGAGCTCCAGGCTGTGCCAAAGGAAGCCAAGTCAGATGAAACACCAACAGATCCTGGTTGCTCTGAATGTCAAAACAGCAAGGAGAGTGTTCTGTGCTCTGAGGGTGAAGAGGGTCTGGCCCCTCCCAACCCTAGCCAGCATTTTGAACCAAGAGTGTGAGAAAAGCGACAGCAGAAGCATACCTTTTAAAGAGTACTGATTACAGATCAAGGGCACATGGGGCAGAGGAGAACCACTATAAACCTTCCTCTCAAAGCCATGGTTATTTGCTGATGGCAGCAACATCCCTGCCAGTCTCCTTGCTTGGATTGTACACTTGTGCTTCATTCCTGTTCTCCCTCTGCATCTTGACTAGAAAGATTCTTCAGCATCAGCCTCATATTACAACTGACCTTGCTACTAGATTTTCTTGCACCTCAGCTCTTGCAGCCTTGGCACACTCACCCACAACACTTACTTAGGTAGAAAATGTGTTCCAGAATTCTGATCTAGATTCAGGTTCTTCCACAGAATCTTCTGAAGAATTTACAAAGCCCTGAAGTTCAGAGCAGATGCCACCCATGATAACATTTCCAGTTTAGCCAAGGCTGCTGCATTTTGTGCAAGGATTTGGCTTCCCTATGGTTCACGCATCAAGAAGAAGATCCCCACTTCAGAGTGAATTTGACGTGTTCGAGTGGAAGTCTTCCAAACAATCAAAGAAGCCCTTCAAAAGAGGGACTTCGTAGCCTCAATGGATTTTAGAAACCCAGCTTCTAGCTGCTTGGAAACTAAGTAGGACATGTTAAGGTACTTGGGATATTCTTTAAAAAGGCATTTCAACCATACTAAATTCTGGACGCAAGTCTAATATTAGAATATGTGAAGCCATCTGGAAGGTGCCAACCAGATGGATTAGGTCCGAAAGCATCAGTTTCCTTTTGGCTTTCTTGCCTTTAAGTCTCTCCTTGCTCATTTGTTTGTTTTTATATATAGGGTGCTTTTCTTCCTACAAGATGGTTTGGGTAAAGGCCTCCATCCAGGCCCACTAAGATAACAATCAGTTGCCATCTCTTCCAGATCTTTCTAAACCAGGGGCACCACAATTTTCTACTCACACGTATCATAGACATTTCCTTTGGTAGCCTCTCAGTCAGCTTCAGCTACTCTACACTGTTTTCCACATTCGATTTTAAACATCATTCCAAACGCTCTCACAAGACCTCTTTTTGAGCCGCTTAGAGAAATTCCTGTTTTTCTCCTTTCCTGCAGCATTTATCTCAGCAAGAAGAATCTTGGTTTTGTCAGCCCTATTGTCTGGAAACACCTCAGTGCTTTCCACAATTTAATTTTTGGCTAGATCCTTCATTCATTCCAAAAAACATTCTGCGTTTCTCAAAATATAGTCTTATCCTCCTTCTGTCCTAATACTGCTCACCCACTAGAGGAGTCCTGGCATAAAATAGATGTCAGGAAAGCTCTGAAAGTTTACATCTCCTATACTAGGACAGTTATGCGCTCAGAGGCTCTTCTTGTCTCCTTGTATCCCTTTTCATTGGAAATGTTTCCAGGCAGATCTGTATAGTCGTGCCATATGATGCCACAAATGTTTCTAGGCCCCATAGGTTTACATTTTATTCAACCAAAGCAATAGCCACATCTTCTGACATTTATCTATCATTAGAAAATAGGTAAGTGTCAAGTGTTGCTGAGGAAGCATTAGAAGGCACGTTCTTCAGAAGGTTGCTACTGAGTCTCTTTAATTCTGTTGTTCCCTCCCAGTCACATTTGGCTTGGGTATGCCCTATTAGAGTGCCCCCAGAAGAGGGAAATGAGAAACCACTTTTGAGTACTCAGAAAAAGTACTGGAAAAGACAGCTGGAAGAGGGCTCCAGGTTCAGTGAAAAGTTTTCCAATACCACAAATTTCTGGTCTCCTGATCTGTGCAGTGATAGGAATAACCCATTCTAGTGGATTCTTCCTCTGCACCTATCAGAAGGGACCCTCATGGTGAAGGTCCAGGGTTCCCATCTCAAATAAAACCTACTGTGTCATACTGCCAACACATATAACAACATAAATATTCACATTGAGTTTCAAATAGATAAGTATGTGTACAGACCTTCCCTGGTCATCACTCCATATTTTTCTTTTTCTCCCCCCCCCCAGTAAATTTAGTTATAAGAATGTCTGTGATTTGTTCATTAGAGGAAAAATTAATCTAATATGTTTTCTTTCCCAAAATTAAATTATAATTGGTCAGTTTAAGCCTTGTTGTGCTGTACAAAAGTCTAACCTTTGTTGAATTAGAAAATAGCTTCCTTTTTGTACATATGCCCAATATTCACAGTTCTCTGAACCACTTGTGTTTAAACAACAGAATAATTTTTTTCTTGAAGAAAGAGGGGAAAGCTGAAGTTGCTAAAAGTCGTGATTAATATTAGTCCCAGGATTTCAGTTTACAAGCCATACTGTAGATGTGGCTCACTGAGGAAACATGTCCTGTTGTTTTTGCTAGGTATGTCTTCAGGCAGCCCTCTCCAAACGCCACTTATTCGACCTGCAGGACTTGCAGATTTTGGACCATCAAGCGCCTCTTCACCCTTGAGCAAAGGAAACAGTGTTTGTGGATCTTCCAAAACCTTAAACCTGATAAGTTCGTTGGCACCAGAAAACCCAATACGAAAACAGTATAAAGGAGCGCACACCTCAGGCGGGCGGTAGTAATTTTGAACCCATGTGTGTTCATGCCAGCTTTCTAAACAGTCCATGCCTACCAGCAAAAGGGTATACAGATGATGCCTTGTCTCCATCCTGTATGTGGGTGTGAAGAGAAGATTGCTGCACTACTGGCGCAGGAGGTGTTCTCCATGCACTTTCATGTGTAGCCCACATTTTCTACCTTTGCAGATTTGTGAAGAGAAAGGAGACCGAGACTAGGGATGCTTGAGATTAACTTTTTCACTAAGTTTTTTTCTGGCATCCTAAAAATCATGTGGGAAAAGGATCCAGCTTCCATGTGAGATTGGCTACAAGATCTCCCCCTTTGTTCTTATTCACACCAGCACCCTCTCCCCTCATCATTCAGGTTTTAAGTGGAATTCCACTTCATTCTTACAATGAGATCAGTGTCTAAACGTTGGGAGTGCCCTGCAGATTGAGAATGCGCCTTTTTGAGGGAGTGGTGGAGGAATAACTTGACGGTTCTAATGTGGATGAATGGTAGGATACTATAAACAGCAGATTTCAGGGGAAAGGAGAGAGAAGTTTTGCACTGTGTCCAAGAAGAGGTATTTTGTCAATACCATGCTTCTGAACTCCTGTTTGTTTGGTTAAACAGCAGTAGGATGATAAGCTTTTCAGAATGACGTTGCTGTCTCCTATCACAGAGTAGAAGATTCTGTAACATCACAGTAATCTAATAGATGCATTAAATTTCATAGCATTGGGTTTTAAGTATTTCCAAGTATTTTGGCTTATGTGGCAATCTTGAAAAAACTTTTTGAATTTAAAAGTCATTTTGTGTGTACTTTTAACAAGAAGCTATCTGAGAAGGAGAAAATGTCATTATTTTCCCTCTCATTGTGCCATAGAAGAGCTTTCTGTTAACATTTTAGGTACCACAAGTCTCCACACTACAAAATAAGAACACTGAGGCATGTGTTACTCTCACTTCCATGCAATCCCTAGCTCAAGCAGTGTTGTTCATTCCAGGCCATCCACTCACCGTATTCTTTTTTTTTTAAAGCAAGTGTAATTTGTTAGATGTGTCCACATCTACCTCCACTGTGATGTTCTGGCACTGTTGCAGAGCTCTGTGAAGCTAGTGAAAGTTGTCAGAAGAGCAGCAACGTCATGGGTGTAACTCTTTGTTCTGATACTCCATTCTAAATGCAAAAGAACCCTCTGCTTTGGCATGATTTAGAGATATATGTATACTGTCTGCATTGCACTGAGATGAAGGAGGGGTCCAGTTCTCCTGTTTTCACATTGAGATTAAGTGGACATTCTTTTTGGGCATTTTCACCATTCAAGGGAGAACCAGGTTACGAGGTGAAGATCTTAGCTAAGATAGCAAAGGATTTTTCAGTCTCATGCACCTTGCCTGGCATCCCACAGTGTAGAGGAAGTGCTTCCTGTTTGACTCTGCCTCTAATTTGCACACCCGAAGATTGCAGAAATGAGTTCAGTTAGATTGATTTTTTAGGGGAGAAAAACAGATTTGGAGGGAATAATTGGGTGGGGAGGGATATTTAATTTAAATCATGAAGATTTTACCCTGCCTCCCTCAGATTCACATGTGTATATACTGTGTTTAGAGGGAATCAGAAAAAAATGCCAAGCTTTTTTTCCTCTTTGAATGTGCTGTCTATTTTTATAACTGAACTTGTATATATGTATAAAAAGAGACACATCTTTCTTTTACTAACTGGAGAAATGAATCTTAAATAAAATGGAGTGAGATAATTTTATGTAAATTCAGACTCTGTGTTTTATTGTTTTCATAAGAAATGTGCTGAGATGTTATTCAAACAAGGGGTTTTTTTAATGCTTCTCTTAAAATGGGTCTAGATACGGGAATGTACCAAAGGTTTGTGGATTTGCAAACATATCTTTATTATCTTACCAGTAATGCACCTTGTTCAGTATTTTCCCTGTTTTTCCAATCACTTGATATTTGTTTTCATGTCAGAGTGAATGACTTATCTACAGTAGGATCACAGTCAGGGTGGATTAAAACCAATGATATTTTGAAACAACTAAAAGTCAGATTTTTTATTTGAATCTCATTTTTTATTTTAATAAAATTTATTTTAATGAAATGCTTTTGGAGGGAAAATCTGTCTATAGGTAGTTTTCTGTACAACTACATTGTAGTTCAAAGGTTATTCATCCTGAAATATAGCTTAGTTATGTAGCATGAGGCTGCTGTATATTCATACAATATTTACATTTTTGATAAACTAATTCAATTAATCCAAGTTATCTAAGCTGAATAGATACTTTTACCTTTTCAGAGTAAAAATGGTATAAAATTTTAAAAAATTCAGGAAAAGACCTTGATCCCATTGTTGTTCTACAAATCTATGTACAATGAACACATTACCTTAAATGCTAGGTTTGAAGATTGTTGTTAAATGCATCTGTACAAGGCTCTGAGGTGGGAGGGGCAAGCAGTAAAAATGAAAGTGAAACCTTCTGCGTCACTTATAAACCTTGAGATCTTTGTGCACATAGCTTGAAGTTTTTTTTAAGATACGTAATTTAAATGTCACGAGAAGCCTCGTGGCGCAGCGGTTAAACTGCTGTACTGCAGCCAAAACTGTGCTCATGACCTGGGGTTCAATCCCAGGGAGCGGCTTAAGGTTGACTCAGCCTTCTATCCTTCTGAGGTCCGTAAAATGAGTACCCAGCTTGTGTAGCCTGCATAATTAACTTGTAAACTGCCCAGAGAGGGCTTGTAGCGCTATGGGGTGGTATATAAGCAGCACACTTTGCTTTTGCTTTTTTTTTCAGAGACTGAAAGGAGGCCCAACATGAGTTTCCTCATGAAAAGACTTGATATGGTCAGTTCTCAATGTGTGTGGTTGCTACATGCCTTCTTAAATCATCAGGGGGGAGAGTGGGACAGGACTTTGACATTTTAGTTACTTATTTGTTCATTCCTTTTTATCCCAGTCTTTCTTCACAGAACTCTGTGTATGATGCATGAGATCCCATTGCTTAAGGTTGACTCAGCCTTCTATCCTTCTGAGGTCCGTAAAATGAGTACCCAGCTTGTGTAGCCTGCATAATTAACTTGTAAACTGCCCAGAGAGGGCTTGTAGCGCTATGGGGTGGTATATAAGCAGCACACTTTGCTTTTGCTTTTTTTTTTAAACACTTCAGTTAATAAACATTGATGTTTAAGCAAATGCAACAATATTATATAATGCTATAGTTTTATTTAACTAAAACAATTTAAGTAGTTCTCCAAATATGAATGATTAACCTATTCAACTAAAATCAGTTCTGATATAGCTGTTTTACTAATCTGACAGGTTATTATTCTAAATATGAAATCTGCATCTGGTTGCGAATGTTAAAGATAGTAACTACGATCAAGAATGAGTCTTTACATTTAAAAATAATGATCTAAATGGAGTCTTACTGACTAGTGATTTAAATCAAAACCACCCTGATCACAATGGCCAGGAGATCACAGATTACTTACTGTAGAATAATAAGTCACAATTTAGAATAGTAAGTCAAAGTTAGAGTAGGCCCATTTGAATCAATAGAATATGTAGAGGGGTTGACTAACTAAATCCCCATTGATTCAGTGGTCCTGTTCTGGTATAATTTGCTATGCTAAGCAACTGATTTTTGGCAAACATCAAACCATTCTTGCTTCATAAGTGGTATTGTACATTGAGATGATAACACCTCTGCTAAAATCTTTTCTTCCTTCTTCCTTAAATCTTTTTTTATTTGTATCAGAGTACTGCACAATTTAAAATTATGGTTACATATTAAATATAGGTAAATTTGAAAACAAATCAAAATGTTAAGATTATTAGACTATTTTGACCAGAAGCAGGCTACTTTAATTGCAGTATCTTTGCCATTTGCTAAATCTTCTTTTGTACACGTGGTGGGACATAAATTGCATGCACATAAGTACCGCATTGATTGAATTTCTCCAGTTAAAGAAAATTTGTCCTGTTATTCAGGTAGCCCATCTTGATTCTTTTTTTTATCTTTTACTTCACTTCGAAGTCTATTAAGTAACTTCCAGATGATCCAGCTAGAGACATTCTTCAGCATTCATCCATTTGGCCACGTGTATTGTTTTTGTTCTTCATAGGTTTAATGTAGCCTTTTCTGGTTTAATATTTAGAGCTTGAGATGTATGCAGAAAACTTCTCAGTTTTAGCCATCGTCTAGGGGGGTTGTTGTCCATGAAGTGGATGGGTTTGGTGCTGTATTACCTCATGTCATTCATTATTTGCTAGTACCTTTCAGTGTAGTTCTGGAGGAGTAATGTTAGCCAAATAATAGTCTTTTTGTATTCTCAAAGGCTTTCACGGCTGAGATCCAATGGTTGTTCTAGGTTTTTTGGGCTGTTTGGCCGTGTTCTGGAGGTTTTTGTTCCTAACGTTTGACCAGTCTCTGTGGCTGGCATCTTCAGAGGACGGGAGTTAGAATATGTTCTAAAATAGACTTTTTCAAATAATGCCTGGGCACACAAGATAACTGTAATTGTTATTTGTTGTCCCATACAATTTAATAACTACGTGCACATGTCTTCAAGCCTGTGAAGAGGTCAGTGCCTGTTTAAAAAAACCCCAACACAAATGTATCACTGTGTCTGGACTTGCATCAGTGTAGTTAGGGAAGTTGGAAAACAAGTATCACCTCATCTTGATTATGAGTAATTGTCAATCCTGTTATACAGTACAGTCAGATTTCCCCCCCAGTAAAATAAGGAGCCATCAGTCTCACACAGTATTTCTTAATTCTCTCTCTCTCTTGTCAGTGGTGTCATAAGAACTTATGGGTAACCATGCTGAATCAGGCCAAAGACCTGTCTAGTCCAGCATTCTGGTACATTAGTTAAGAAGGTGTTGTTCCAGGTCAGCCATGTATATATATGTACATATTGTGGTGCTATACAGGTACCCGTGGCAGTTCTGTTAATTTAGAGATAGATGTTTTATCAAAAGTTAAACAGTTGTGTCTGAGCACCAAGTCACAGAGGGTAGTGGCTCGTTGTGCTGAGTCCTCATTCTGAATGGTATTCCTGATTGCCTGTTGTTCATCTCTGTGTGGGATGTTAATGTAGAGGGCTTCTGCATCCATGATGGTTAAGATAGTGTTGTCAAGGAAGTAGTGAGTGGATTGCATTTTCCTCAGAAAGTCTGCACTCTCTCTCTCATAGCTATGTGCATTAGTGAAATGTGATTTGAGGATAGAGTCAAGGTATCCTGACACCCCTAACAGCATGGCATTGATATAATGAGCCTGCTGGAGTTGGCCAGTTTGTGCAGTTCTGGTAGCAGGTAGAAGGTAGCTGGTTGAGGTTCTTGTGTTTCAGCCAGGGTTTGAGCACTGATGTTTTTTTGTGGACTGTTCCTCTTCATGCTGTGTAAAATGAGGCGCAGCTTGTTGCTCTACTGGTTGCTGTAGGAATATTCTTTGAGCCTCAGTCTACAGCACTCTATCATCTGCATGGGTTCAGTAGGAGAAAAAAGTCAGGTCCCTTGAGAGGACTGAGACTTCTGCTTTGCTCAAAGGTCATGGTGTTCCTGGGTGGGCCAAGGGGTCCTGTAGTAGATTGGATAACTTGTTTCTTTTTCCTCAAGGGAGTAAGTTATTTCTTGCAGTGGAGAATACTTCTGCGTTATCTGGTGCAGAGGGCTGGCTCTGTACATGTGGTTCAAGATTTGTGATTTCTTTGTGGATTTTTCATTGCTTGCTGTATAGGATGCTGATACTTTGACTTCTTGAGTGATGCCCGTGGGTATAACTTATAGTATTCTGACTGGTGTCTTAAGATGAACCTAAAGTATCTAAAAATAATGCTGTATCTAAAGTATCTGAAGATGGTATTGCAGAGTAAAGGCAGATTATAATTAAATAAAACTAAATAATCCTTTTTTAAAAAATAAAATAACCCTGAGGTGCACATCCCTACGATTCTTAGTATCAATACCAAATACTAGGTAGCTGTGTTTCACAATTTTGGAGGTATATGTGTGGAGACGAACACGCGTATTTGTATAAACAGATGTGTATGGCAGTTTTGGAACATGCAGGCATGAATAGGCTATGCAAATGCAAGTTTAATTTATCCACACCTACTGCATAGCATTCACAAAAATAAAGATGTTACAGAACAGAAGGAATGTGAATGCCAATATTTATTTGTTGTTAAGTGCCATCAAGTCAACTCTGACTTATGTTGACCCTTTGAATGAATGACTTTCAGAATGACCTTTCCTCAACAGCCCTACTCAGCTCTTGAAGAACCAAGGCTATGACTTACTTTATGTAGTCAATCCATCTCTTACATGGTCTTTCATTTTTCCTCCTGCCCCCAACTTTTTCCCAGCATTGTTGTCTTTTCCAGAAAATCTTGCCTTCTCATAATGTGCCCAAAGTGTGACAACCTCAGTTTCATTATTTTTGCCTCCAGGGATAGTTTGGACTTGGTTTCTTGTAGGGCACACTTGTTTGTCTTTCTAGTGGCCCAGAGCATCTGGTAAGATCTCATTCAGCACCACATTTTAAATGAATCAGGTTTTGTTTTTTGTTTTTTGGTCAGCCTTCCTGTCCAACTTCCATACCCATACATAGTGATCTGAAATATGTGAATGATCCCTTGATCCTTTCATTGAAAGTAGTTTGAAGACATTGCTGCTTTCTGCATGTAAGATGGTGTCATATGCATATCTTAAATTACTGGTGTTTCTTCTACCAATTTCACTTCTTTGCTTATACAGTAC